TCAAAGGGCTGAAACATCAAAGAGGAAATGACCCAAAATGTTTTCCCATGTTCAACCCTCCACCCAAATGTCTGCAATAGATTAAATATTGTGAAAGTATTTGTATAACTGGTCATGTAAATAGTTAAGAGAATAAAATTTTAGTTCAAATAAAGTATAATAACGATAAAATACAAAAAAAAAAAAAAAAACAAAAAAAAAACTTTTCTTAGAAGTATATATTCAACATATAGGGGTGAGATTTTTTTATAAACTTTTCAATGAAAATTATAAAAATACAATTGACTTTAGTGATCATTATATCATAAATAAAAACAAACTTTTGTTTTTTTCCTTGCCACATTAGTGAAATAAAATTCAAGGAGAATTAAAAAAAAAAGTGTGAAAGAACATAAGGTTCTCATGGTATTTCAATGGAATTGTGATAAAGTTAGAAGATATGATAATTTTTTGGCTTATAAAATTTTTAAGTCTTATTTTAAAAACAAAAAAGATGTGCGACAAGTGAAAAAATTAGTTTATTAGTTCCTATTTTTAAGAATAAAATTTATGCACAATAGCACACAAATTATATAAGAATTAAGTTAATGTGTCATACATCAAAGTTATAGAGAAATTAATTGAATATAAGTTATGATGTCATATTAAAATTTTCCAAAATCAAATTAGATTTATGATGGAGAAGTCTACTATGGCAGTTATACATTTAATAAGAGATTTGATGGAAAAGCATTGATGAAGTAAGGAAAATCTACATTATTATATTTATTGGTTTAGAAGAATCTTATGGTAAAGTTATAGTAGAAGTGCTATTGAGATATTTACAAAAGAAAGGTGTTGATATTACTTATATGCAAATAATTAATGATATGTATACCATATTTGATATTTGTGCTTGAACACAAGAATGATTGAATGGGTGTTTTCTTACTTCAGTTGGATTACTAGAGGGCCCACATATTTTTGCTTTAGTTATTATGTTTTTATGAGAACTTTAAAGGAGAATGTACCTTGGTGTCTGCTTTTCATTGATGATTTCCTTCTTGTGGATAAGACTAGAGAGGGAGTTAAAGAAACTTTTTAATTATGGATGTCAATTTTAGAGTCTAAACTTTCGTTTGAGTAGAACTAAAACTGAATACATATAATTTAATTTTAGTAATAATAAATTCTATGGGTGATCGAATTATTAAAATGTGTGAACATTTTAGATATCTCGGGTTTATTTTTCAAAGTGATTGTGATATAGATGTGGATGCTATTAGTAGAATTCAAGTTGGATGATTAAAGTGCAAGAATGCTTCAGACTTAATGTGTGAAAGTACCCCTCAGTTTAAATGGACAATTTTATACGATAAAGGTGAGACCTACAATGCTTTATGGCACAAAATGTTGGCCTATAAAAGAAAAAAAAACAAAATTGTGTATTGAAAAGTGGACCACACTGACAGATTTGATATTGAACTTATTGTTGATTTGATATGAGCTTCCATTGCAATCATTTATGCAACATAATCTTATAGGACACCCTGAACCGTTAGTATAGTTAGCAAGCCAGTGAACCAACGGTTACAATTTGCTAGAACATGTGTGAACACAATGTCATGTCAAGTGCACTCATTTCATTTTCACTCCACACGATGATTGTGAGGCTTAAATCCCTAATTATATCATAATGTCCTAAAATCAAGTGCAACTTCATCCAACATTGTTTTGACGTAAGACATCGCCGTAATCAATGTTCATAGTTCAACAACCATTATCTTTCATTCGTTGTTTGTACTTTGTCCATCTTAAGATCGAGATTATCCTCCTTCAACTTCCATGTTAGCGTAAAAATTCGTCGTCCACCATTTTTCACTGTTCACTGGACAATTGATTTTGTTCGTACTTGTAGGTTGTTTACAACTAAAATAATATCCTTGTGTATTATTTCCTGTTTCGTTTGTACTTTATAAATTTTACTATATATATAGTTGTTGGTTGATGCATTTCATCTTCCTAGTTGGCCTCTTTGTTTTGCTTACATGGAATGAACTGCTGCCGAGTCACCTGTCTCCCATCATTTTATAATTAACAGCTTAAGGCAAATTGCATAATAATTGATAATATAGTTTTAAGTCAATTCTTCTAGAGCTATATAAAATCATTATTTAAACTTAAACTTAAAGGTTGAACCAATTATATCTGAATTTTATTGTTTTTATACATTTAATTTATATTAGTGCGTCATTATTTTATCATTTTGATAATTGTTAAATAATTATTTTAATTATTATGTCATTAAGTTCAATCCTCAGTTTGACCCTAGTTGAACCAATGAACATTAAATCTTTCTTTATTTCAGTTTGATGTCCGATTCGATTTTTACAACCTTGAAATTTAAGTTAAGTGTTGCTGAGATGAGAATGCTCGGGTGGATGAGTGGCTTTATGCTTGGAGACAAAATGTGAAATGAATATATCCTTAAATGGGTTGGAGTAACTCCAATAGCAGATACGATTAGAGAGAGACACTTTAGATGATTTGGTCACACTGCATGTCAATCATCTGATTATCCATTTAGGAGAGCATATATTTTAGATTTAACTTATGTTAAGAAAGGTAGAGGTAGAGTTAAAAAGCCTTGGATATGTTGTATAAAAAATGAACTTAATTTATTAGAATTAGATGAAAATGTTACACCCAATAAGACACAGAGGAGAAAAATAATTAATGAAACTAACTGCATTTAAGGTGCGTTTGAGGTGGCTGCAGCTTTTTCAAGAAGCTGTTGTAAGCTACTTGAAGAAGTAGTTTCTCAAGTGATGTCAGAAAGCTGTTGTTGGAAAAAGACGAGTTTGTTTGGACAATATATTATGTTGCAGCTATTTCTACGAAAAAAATGTTGTTTTACCGTTATATATGCAATACATTTGAATGACCACAATTTTAAAAATAATTATAGTTGAATAATAAAAACAAGTCCAGCTACACAAAACACAAGAGGAGTCCAAAGTTATCTGATACATAAAATGTGATCAGTCATTTCATTCACATATTCACAATAACAAGAATCACCAAAATAACCAGCAATCCCATAATGATCTTTATCTTTATATTCTGATGTTCGAGTCTTCAGAATAAATTTTTTCTCCTCAGCAATATCTCTCCTCACCTAATCATTGTCTGGAGCGAACTCATCTTTGTAATCAGTCTAACGAAAATTAATTGTATAACATCAGAACCTCGATATTTTCTATAGGTTTAAAATAAATTTTCAAAATAACTAACAATACTCATATATCAATTCATAAAATACTTTTTTGATTGAACAATATACAAATAAAAGAAAATAATTTATCTAACATCTAAACTTCATGTTTGCACCAACTTAAAGGAATTCTCCATGTGTAATTTTTTATTATAACTAACATTGTTCTTAATTTTTCCATCTATATGTACAAAGGCTCAAGGAAAATTTTCAAGTAATCTTTTTAAGAAGAAACCTACAATGCTTATATATTTATCCATGAAATGTTTTTTTTTATTGAAGAAAATAAAAGTGAAATGAAATGACTTATTTAATAACTAAACTTGATCTTTTCATCAGCTTAGAACAATTTCTCAGGTTTTTTTTTGAAAATAACCAAATGTGTGTTATATTTTTATTTATGACTCACATTTATTTTAATAATTTATGAGATTTATTTTTGATAACTTAAATTATTAATTTTCTTAACTCATAACTTATGTGATAAATTATGACAACTTATGATATTTATTTTGATAACTTAAGTTATTAATTTTCTTAACTCATAAATTATGTCATAAATTATGACAACTTATGATATTTATTTTGATAACTTAAGTTATTAATTTTCTTAACTCATAAATTATGTCATAAATTATGACAACTTATGATATTTATTTTGATAACTTAAGTTATTTATTTTCTTAACTCATAGCTTATGTCATAACTTATGATAAATTATGATATTTATTTTTTGTAACTCATATAACCAGTAAAATAAGTAAATGTTACTAACTTATGTTATTGATTTTATTAATAAAAATCAATTAATTTATTAAATTATCATAAATTCTATTGGTTAGTAACCCCCTTGATGGATGATGGTTAAATAGAGCATGAATTTGAGAATGAGTCATCTCTTTACCTAACACAACTCGTACATTTATCTCCATCAGAAAGTACAGAAAGTTTTAAGGGATTAGAGAGAGAAACTCCATCCTTTCAAGATCAAATTTGTCCATCATGAATACATGTATGCGTAACTTTATTTTAGATATGAAAAAATCATGAATTTAAAAGATCTTGACTATTATATACTTTTCTTTTGAAATTTATGTCATAAAGTTGAAACATGAATTTTCCAACACTGTGCTCATATTTTCGCTATGAATGATTTTCCAAAATTTAAGCAAAGGAAGTGAAATACAATTACTGTAATGCAACTTATACAATTTATCTAATAGCTAAATTTTCAGATTCACATCGTGTCAATGCAATTTATAAAGAAAATAAAGAGGATTAAATGAAGAAATAACAAAACACAAACCATCAAATCACAAATAAGTAAATCGAGAATATGATAAAACACAGACCACTGAACCATCAAACCATGAATCGGTCGAAACAGAGCTTAAACTGCAGAAAGCACCTCTCCCGACCGTTTAGGCTTTCACAATTCCATTGCCCTGTTGTCGAAATGCATTCGCGACACTGCTTCCCAAACACATCGTTCTACGTTTGTGGATGAGAAACAACGAAAATGGTGCCACAAATGTGCCCTTAGTGGGATAAAGACTTGTTGTTTTTGAAAACATATTTGGTTGATATAATTTTTTATATGTTTTACTTATACTTTTTAAATATAATTCAATTTTTTTTTATTAAAACATTAAAAAGTTATTTCGGGAGTTTTTAAAAATAATTATATGAAGATAAAAATATTACTATTTATGATCGACTTATTTATATTTCGAAAAAAAAAAAAAAATTTGTGTTCGACTCAAACACCAGCTATTCCTCCTCGTAGCCCTACCGACCCTAAACCCTCTCGACCATGACAGCTTCTCAAATCCCTTGGCAACGCCCGCAATAGAACAGGAAAACAATGGCCGGCCTTCTCCTCCGCGGCCTTCGGTCCGCGGGGCGGTGCGCCTTTTCCCACCATCTCACTCATTCACTGGCGGCGCTTCCTTACCATCACTGGCACTTTCCTTCCCCTTCGCCCCTTCGTCACCTATCTACCGCCTCTGCTTCATCGGCGTTTGCCCCCGAAGCTTCCGCCACCGGTAGTTTACTTGATCCTAGCCGTCTGAGGAACGTCGCTGTTATAGCACACGTTGACCATGGCAAGACGACACTGATGGACCGATTACTCCGTCAGTGCGGCGCCGATATACCCCACGAGCGTGCCATGGACTCTAATAGTCTCGAGCGAGAGCGGGGCATCACTATCGCTTCAAAGGTGAGAATGACTGCCTTTGTTTTGTATTGGCAATGATTCCTTTCCGGGATTGAAACCCATAGTACTGCTGCTCAAGTTATTTATTCAGGGTGTATTTAGGTGCAAGTTGGATTAGTAATTCCTGTAGATCAGATTTAGCTTATCTTGTCAGGATAAAATCTGAAAACTTTTTGGCAACAACTTTTAAATATCGTAAAATCCAATAATCTATTTGGCTATACTTTTTATAATATAAGATTGCAAGAGGGATGAATTCTCAGATCTGTTAAGTCCTACAAATAGTGTGATTTAACAAAGTTATTAAGGGGCTGGTTGGCTTGCTGAGAAGTACAATGTAAAAGGTTTGTAGTGTACTATTATTACAATGTATTTGAAATACTTTATTGTTGTTTGGTTCACTGCAAAATAAATGTAAGACTATATTTTTTTATTTGGCCACAGGGGGAGACGTTTTACCTCCCTATAGATCTTGGCCACCTTCACGGATATTTTACATAAAAACCCTAATTTAAAGAGCCTTAAACTTTATTTCTAACCTAGGACTTAGTAAATTGAAATAGAAGGGCTTCATGCCTAGGGATTCAGTTTTGGTGTACCTCTCTTTCTTTTCTTTTCACTCTCCATCTCCTTTCTTGTCTTGTATTCTCAGTAACTCTTCTCAGTGTAGTGTGATTTAATTTTTTATATAATTAAATCATAAGCTCTCTATAAATTCTCCATATTATACCACAGGGGGAGACGTTTTACCTCCCTATAGATCTTGGCCACCTTCACGGATATTTTACATAAAAACCCTAATTTAAAGAGCCTTAAACTTTATTTCTAACCTAGGACTTAGTAAATTGAAATAGAAGGGCTTCATGCCTAGGGATTCAGTTTTGGTGTACCTCTCTTTCTTTTCTTTTCACTCTCCATCTCCTTTCTTGTCTTGTATTCTCAGTAACTCTTCTCAGTGTAGTGTGATTTAATTTTTTATATAATTAAATCATAAGCTCTCTATAAATTCTCCATATTATACCACAGGGGGAGACGTTTTACCTCCCTATAGATCTTGGCCACCTTCACGGATATTTTACATAAAAACCCTAATTTAAAGAGCCTTAAACTTTATTTCTAACCTAGGACTTAGTAAATTGAAATAGAAGGGCTTCATGCCTAGGGATTCAGTTTTGGTGTACCTCTCTTTCTTTTCTTTTCACTCTCCATCTCCTTTCTTGTCTTGTATTCTCAGTAACTCTTCTCAGTGTAGTGTGATTTAATTTTTTATATAATTAAATCATAAGCTCTCTATAAATTCTCCATATTATACCACAGGGGGAGACGTTTTACCTCCCTATAGATCTTGGCCACCTTCACGGATATTTTACATAAAAACCCTAATTTAAAGAGCCTTAAACTTTATTTCTAACCTAGGACTTAGTAAATTGAAATAGAAGGGCTTCATGCCTAGGGATTCAGTTTTGGTGTACCTCTCTTTCTTTTCTTTTCACTCTCCATCTCCTTTCTTGTCTTGTATTCTCAGTAACTCTTCTCAGTGTAGTGTGATTTAATTTTTTATATAATTAAATCATAAGCTCTCTATAAATTCTCCATATTATACCACAGGGGGAGACGTTTTACCTCCCTATAGATCTTGGCCACCTTCACGGATATTTTACATAAAAACCCTAATTTAAAGAGCCTTAAACTTTATTTCTAACCTAGGACTTAGTAAATTGAAATAGAAGGGCTTCATGCCTAGGGATTCAGTTTTGGTGTACCTCTCTTTCTTTTCTTTTCACTCTCCATCTCCTTTCTTGTCTTGTATTCTCAGTAACTCTTCTCAGTGTAGTGTGATTTAATTTTTTATATAATTAAATCATAAGCTCTCTATAAATTCTCCATATTATACCACAGGGGGAGACGTTTTACCTCCCTATAGATCTTGGCCACCTTCAAGGATATTTTACATAAAAACCCTAATTTAAAGAGCCTTAAACTTTATTTCTAACCTAGGACTTAGTAAATTGAAATAGAAGGGCTTCATGCCTAGGGATTCAGTTTTTGTGTACCTCTCTTTCTTTTCTTTTCACTCTCCATCTTCTTTCTTGTCTTGTATTCTCAGTAACTCTTCTCAGTACAGTGTGATCAAAATTTATTTTCAACAATAAGTTTATTTTATAATTCTCAAATGTCTTATCTTTGATGTTGACATTTGATGCCCTTGGAGGTATGGTCGCCAAAAGGTAGATGCCAAGCATAGATCATGTCAAGATATTTAATGATGCTTAAGGAAATCTCACTAGAGATGAAATGGTATGGAAATAGTTAATGGCCCAAACCACATCCTTTCTGGCCTCAGTAATGTCCTTAGAACTAGAACACACTTATTGATGTAGTCACTATAAGAATCTTTATAATTATCTTTTAGATATATCCAATAATCATTTATTATGAGAGCTCCATTAATATTCTCTTTTACAAGGGTTCCGATAGCCTTAGACTGTTTAGAGGAACACTTTTTATGGGCTCTTAGGAAAATCCTAAGGACCTTAAGGAATAATAACTTTGTTTTTTTTTTGATTTGATGGTCAATGATATGAGTCTCAAGCAATCATCTTGATAGTCTTGTGGTCCCCATCAACTACCAAAATAATATTTAGGCATCCCCTACTTTATAGATAATACCATGCTCTTTATCTATCACCTTTTAGTGAAGTTCCTAGACGGTTTGAGAGTAACCATAGCCAAAGTGAACCTAATGTAGATGTAGAGATGATATATGAATTCAATAAAGTTACTTTGGGGCCTTGATCCTTCTAGCAATCCCAATTGTAGCGATGGCCGTCAAGCAAAGATGCCATTGGTGGATATATTGATCACAAGCGACTGGCTGAATGCCCACCTCAATGGAATACCTATTAACTAGAGGAGACATTAATATTGAGAGAAGGCGCTAGATCAATGCAAAGTAGACAAGCTATTCATGTAGGATTCATCCAAATTTGAGTATATGAAATGGGTCTCCCTTATGGTGATGATGAAGAGAGCAATTGAGAAGTGGTACATGTGTATCGACTTCATATATCTATCTTACCTCAATAATTCCAACACATTATACATATTTGATTCACTAATGTACTTGTTAGCAGATGGCACACCCTCTATGATACATTTTTAAGTTATAACCTAATCAAGAGCACCCGCAATGATGAGGAAATGATTGTTTTCACAACATTTGAAGGGATGCATTGATGTATATTCATTCACTTCAGATTAATGATCATGAAGGCTACCTAGTAAATGTAGAAAACATTTTCGAGCTCCAAAGGAGGAACACATGTTAATTAAGGAATAATCTAGAAAATGTATGTTGAGCCAATCCTTAATTGGATCACAAGTGAATTATCTTGTGATGGAAAAGCTACCCATTATTTTTTGTCACTTTGTGTAGTATGTATAGCCCTTGCTTCCAATTTTATTTGGTTCAAATAGTAATTTGCCGACCCATGAAGAAAATTTTGCTTAAAATTTAGAATTCTAGGATGTTAACGAAATTGTTTGTAGAACTTAAGGATTTCTAACTCCAAAATGTTTTAAGTATGATATGGAAAGATTAAGACCTGGATGAGTCCATTGCAACTTCATGTTGGAGTTAGATAGTAAAGCAAGATCAGAGGAGATTATTTTGGATGCTAGAAGATAATCAGAAGTTAAGATTAGCATCATCATTGTGATGTTGTGAAGCCCAAGGGGAATTTGTTGAGCTATGCATCAAGATTTTGTTTTTATTACTATCAACTAAGTACAAACGATGTTGGAGAGGCTAAGGATTGGATTACGTTTTGAGGTCAAGAAGTTAAATTTGCTCAACAAATCATAATTAACTATGTACCACATATTGGGGAATTATGTGATTAAGAAGTAAATTCTGATTTGGTTCCAAGCCAAAGTAAAATTCAAGATCTTATATTTCAAGAAGTTCTGAGTGGAACACGTGCTGAAGGGAGGTAAATTGGTTAATCGACCTCTTGACTTAGTAGGAGAGTTGTTGGTTCCTTTGATAAAGAAGTCATATACCATGGAGATTTTCTAATGCAAAAGTTTAATGTTGACGATCTTCAAACCCTTGAAGAGCAAGGCTTTGTTTAACATGATGGAGGCTCAAATCTTATGTTAGTTGCCGGATGCTATGTTGTTTAAGGCTCCCTTTATAAGAAATTATTCTTCCATGAGAACTTGAAATGACTTGGGCTTACCAATATGATGAGCTCAGGGAGATACATTAAAGGGAACATCATAGCTATCCATAAGGCTATTATATGCCCATGATGATGAAATATATCAATTAGTTTACTAAGAAGTATATGAGTTACTTCTACCATAGGCCCATCTAACACTTACTAATCAAATGGTTATACATGATCGCTGGTTTATGGAAATTTACATAATTGGGGGTGGATTTTGTTGGATCTCTTTTAAAGGTTGTTGATTCTAATTCATACCTTATTATTTTGCGGGCTACTTCATTAATTAGATCAAAGTAAAGCCCCCCGCAAAAACAATGACCTCATCAAGCATAAGACCTTTCGTGATCTGATTTTTTAGCTTGTTTGACTTCCATGTTTTGATAACATAACTTACAGTGGACTTCAGTCTAAGAACAAGGAGATGAATGGATTTTATGTCAATGATGAGCCATCTAAAATAAACAAGCATTAATAAGCCACCCACATACCAAGTGATAAGTTCATGTTGAAAACAAAGCAAGTCTAAACACCTTGAGAAGAAACATAAAAGCAAGAAAGATTAGTGGATAGATGAGCTATTAGAATCTTATGGGCGCTCAACACTACTCTGTCATCAGTTACACGAGACATGCCATTTGCTCTAGCTTTCGAAATTGAAGCTTCATTTTTCCTTGGTGTATGCTTTTTGCTGATGATATCCTTCTTGTAGATAAGATGAGAGAAAAAACCCAAGAAAAACTTGAATTATGGAGGTCTAAATTGGAGTATAAATACCTTTATTTGAGCAGAACTAAAACTGAATACATGGAATGTTATTTTAGTAGTAATAGCTCTAGTGACAAAAGTGTAACTTGGGTGATCAAATTATTAAAAGGTATGAACGATATTGATATCTTGGGTCTGTTGTTCAAAGCGACGGTGATATAGATGGAGATATTAATAGTAGAATTCAAGTTGGTTGGTTGAAGTGGAGGAATGCTTCTGGCCTTTTGTGTGATAGAAAAGTACTGCTTAGACTGAAAGAAAAATTTTATAAGACGGTGGTGAAACCTGCAATGCTCTATGTAGCTGAATTTTGGCCTTTAAAAGAGAAGCATAATACTAAGTTAAGTGTTGACAAGATGAGAATGATTAGGTGGATGAGTGGCTTTACACTTAGAGACAAAGTGAGAAATGGATATATCTATGATAGGGTTGGTGTAGCTCATGTGATGGACAAATTAACAGAGAGTCGCTTTTGATGGTTTGGCACATTAAACGTCGACCATCT